AATTCGAGCATCAATTGAGTTTGAGTATTTCTATAAATACATTTCTACTACTTTTTGGGAAGTCCATTAGGAAATCTACTTAACCATAGAATAAAAAGTAAAAAGAGTCATTCAAATATTTTTTTNCAGCAAAAAGTGCAGGAACAGAAACAACCAGCCGCCAGTCAACGAATTGCATGACAGGCACTTGAACGGAAACCAAGACGCCAATTTGTTGTGGCAATCGTAAGAATACTGCACTTAAATATTTACTTATTTTCATTACTTTCATTTTTCGAAGTTTTCTTTTAACAATTCGCTATTTCCTTCTTTTATGTACTCTTTCTTGCTTGTCTTTAATGTGTGTATGTACGACCTTTCCGTTCTTCTGCCATAGCATTGGATTTCAAAAATATTCACAGTAACGCTTGGCATTTTCAAAGATGTCAGCTATACGTTTTAACAAATGTATTTCATTACTTAAACGGTTGTGTATTTCGAGTAATGATTGTGGCTGCAATAAAGTCGAAACGACTTTTTCAGAATTTAAGGCCATCTTAGTCAGTCATACGATGATCGGCGATTGTACGTAAAATGGTTGAACAACTTCTCTCCTGTGATAGGTCAGAATCAAGTAACTCAGTATGGAGAATCAGAGGACTGCTAGTTCCTTGCTCCTGTTGCACTTTCTATTTTCGAATTCTTGAGAAAAGAAACTTTTAAGCTCTATCCGAGTTAAACAAAATCTTAATTTTTTTTACTTTTCCAAAAACAAGTTACAATACTTTTTCGGAGTTGGTCTTTTTGACAGCTGTTACTTGATTCAAACTCAGTTTGGTTTGCCATTTCATAATGAACAGAAGTACTCCGGAACAACGTTTGCAAATCGTGCAAATCTATTACCAAAATAATGGTTCGGTCGGTAATTCGAGCAACCATGGATCGTTTTCGCACCAAGCTTACTCTAGTGAATAATGCGCATCCTCAGAGATGCCGTACGGTGCGCACCAAAGACGCTATTGTTGCTGTGGAGCAGAGTATCGAAGAAGACCCGAATGAGTCCATCCGCCATCGCGCTCAACAATTGGAGCTGTGCCCTCCATCCACTTTATGGAAGATTTTGCGAAAGGAAGAATTGAAGCCGAACGACCATCAAGCGCGTCGCACGTTCAGTGAATGGGCCCATAATGAGATGGTCACCGATCCGGATTTTCACTACAAAGTTTTGTTTAGCAATGAAGCTCACTTTTGGCTGAATGGGTAAACAAAATTGTCGCATTTGGAGTACTGATAATCCACAAGCCATTATTGAGGCGCCGTTCCATCCTCAAAAAGTGACTATTTGGTGTGCTCTATGGGCAGAGGGAATCACTGGTCAATATTTCTTCAAAAATGAATCCGGCCATGATTAATGACTTCTTCGTGGTTTAATTGGAGGATGTTAATGTGGACGACCTTTGGTACCAACGAGACGGCGCTACATGCTATAAAACCAACGAAACAATTGATTTATTGAAGGAAACTTTTGGTGAGCACATTATCTCGCCTCGAGGCCCTGTGGTGTGACCTCCAAGATCGTGCGGTGCGATTTAACACCGCGGGCTAATCTTTTGTGGGGTTATTTTAAGTCCCTTGTCTACGCAGATAAGCTCGAGACGATCGACGCCTTGGAAGAGAATATTCGGCGCGTTATTGCTGACATACGGCCCCAATTGCTGCAAAAAGTGGTCGAAAATTGGGCCTCTCGGCTGGAATTTATTCGATCCGGCCGCGGCGGTCACTTTCCCGAAATCATTTTTAAGACATAATGGCAAACCCTTATCTTTATAATAAAGCTAAATTCTTGGCCATAACATTAAACTATATGCGTTTTATTTCTTCTTGAAAACCACGTGTCTAAAAGAACACCCTTTACATACATAAATTGAAAGGCGGGTGAATGTCGTCAGTCAATAATTATTTACATTCCAGCAATGGAGAACCCGCTCTTTGCTAGTGAATAAAAAACGTACTAGGCTGCGGAAAAAAGAGTGCTGCAGAGTAAGGTCAAGCTTAACAAAGAGGCAAGCAAAGGTACAGCGCAAATGGGCGTGCTACACTGCACAATTCTGAGGACAACTCCAACGGATGCTGCAGCTAAAATATTCACCTTACCACCAATTTACTTCTAGTTAGGGTATCTCTAAGCTGTTAAGTTGGCCGCGGCGGTAGGCAAAGAACCTTCGGACATTACTCATTAGGCATGAAAATTGTAGGTGATACAGTCAACATGACTCCGCGTCTTAATTTCGATAGTGAGTTCCAGGCAATACTGGAACAGGAGAATTGATTTTCTTCAAAATTGATATTTTTTCTGTACTTTGCACTAAAAAATTTAAAACAAACAAACGAAAATTCAAAAATCAGGCTCAACTAGTCTCCTGCAAATTTTATTAGCTTTCATTAAAAAAATAATAATCAAATTGACTGAAAAATGAAAGCTCCAGTGAATTTTATTAGCTTTCATTAAAAAAATAATAATCAAATTGACTGAAAAATGAAAGCTCCAGTGAATTGTGAACATCAAATGCCAGTTTTGAACCACTGTGCAGCGCAAGCATTACAAATCATTTAATAGGCGGCATACACGGTGCGTCTCACTCGCCGCGAGTCGGTTTGGGTGTGTTAGTGACAATATATATGGCTTAGTTACACCGACATGACTCTGAGTGACTCGACTGTGTGTAGTCGAAAGGCAAGTCAACACGTACTCAGATGATTCGCGAATCATACGCACCGTCTGCAGTGCCTATAAAAACAGGTATGGTAATCATTATGAGTAAAATAACTTTGATCGGCATTGAATCATTATATTATGGTTTTTTTTCTGTCAGAGATTATAATATATAAAAACTGGTGTTAATTTTTTCACTTAAAAACAATGATTATATACAAAACTTAAAAGGCCATACACACGCAACCAACTGAAATTGCGACCTGAAAATGTTGGGACTTATTCGCTTTATAAAGCTGTCGCTACCTCTGAAAAAGTTTCGACGTAAATCACATAGGTATAGCTTTTGAATAATTATTAGTCTCAAAAAAAACTCAATTATAAATATTGTCTTTGGGCGAAAAAATTATAACTATTATTTGTCATCAAAAAATAAATAAATAAATAAAAAATCAGGTAATAATAATTTCCTCTGAGCGAAAAAATAAAACTCAAACAATAACTATTATCTTTAATCTTTATTGGATAAACTCGAAAAATAAAAATTATTGTACATTACAGTAGAACGTATGAACACAAATACATGAGGATAGTTAAAATTGTTTTACGATGATCAGCGCGTTGATTTTTTGGTTAAAATTTAAAATATAATTAGATATTATTTTGCATCCCTGTTTAAAAACATTGATTTTATTGCTTTCAGACTTAAAACTTAAGGATAATACTTACGCTTTATAATCCATTTTTAATGCAAGATATTTTTTATAATTTACTATTTTTTATTTCACTTACATTCCTATGTACATACAAGTATAATTGCAACTTTTCTATAAATATTACACATATTCGTGTCATGCTTAAACATAAAAATATATTTGTTTATACTGATTTTTGTTTATTACGTGAAATTATATATCAATGTATGAGTCTTATATGTATCCAAGTGTATGGATTCAAACCCTTGCTGGTGCATATATAAGCCACTCTAATTTAAAAATTGAAAATTTCTAAAGTCCATAAAATGCAATCAATAAACAAATCGAGTAGAAATAAGCCTCAAAGCTCGCAAATACCAAATAATTCAAACTTCACAATGATATGCACTATGAAGCACATGATATCTACTATTTAGATATGTACATATGTACTATGTACCAAGCATGATAGTAACGTATACGCCCGTAGTATGCATACGAAACGACATAAAAAGCCGAAAATCAGGAAATGCTCAACTCCTACCTCAATAAGTGGTGTTGGTCTGAAAATTTTTCACAGATTTAAGAACTAGATCGGTAGCGTTACAAGCGTTACATTGCAGAGAAATTCACTTTTGGTACTAATCGCCATGCTGAATACAATGCCAGCGGACATTCTAAAATTTTTGTTGGCCCAGATTTTGACCTTTATTATTTTCTCTACACACATTTCCTCAAAGGATGATAGAATTTTCCTATACTGTGCACCTAAGATTTGTGGCTCACTTATTAGCCAACATTTTGATTGCACTTTTACTTATACAGTATGTTTTTTGTTTGCAGCACACATATGTATGTAACTCATCGCTACTGCATGCTCTTTGTTGTAAATATTTACCAGTTGATTTTTTTTTTCTTTTTTTTTTTGTCTGTTCAAACTCTTTCTGCGCAACACAACTTATTTGTTCTACTTGCTTGTTGCCACACTTCGTGTGCAGAATGTTGCACGTTCCGAATGCTACATGATTTCCCAGTTGAGCAATGATAATTTTGATATTGTTGCTAATCCCCTAGCAGTAGCTGGCGGCAACACAACACGCCGCCGCGCCTCTACTGAGCTAATACCTACATACATACATACATAAGTACCAACAGCAGTAGCAACAATTGCTAATCTGAGCATTATAAATGTTGCTGCTGTTGTTGCGACAGTTATCTTTTACAAGACGTTATTTTTTTGCTTGCAGCTTCACATTTTTGCCAGCATCGCTCTGTCGATTTCGAGTTTATTTTTTATTTTTGCGCAAAATTTTTTCCTCCTATAACTACGTGCATACATACATACCTATTTTTTTTTTTTTTGTTGCTAAACATTTCGTGACTTTCCCACCTTATTTTATGTTATCTACTGATTTCTTACTTGACTTCAACTTAAGTTTAACGAGGACATTGTTGACCAACGCATTTCCTTCCGTCACACACACACAATGCCACTCACAATCAACTAACAACTGGCCAGCAGCTACTGCCACGTACGAACGAGCCCACCGTACGCCATGCAATATCTCCAATGCATCCCGCCCCCCATTCCAAGCAACGAGTTCTACAACTATTCAACTGCTGACATTTGTCATCCTCGTCGTGTGCGGTGCCGCCTTGGACACCGAAATGGACAATTGCTCATCTGCGTAGTCTTTATAAACTTGTAGTAGTTCGCTTGACTGTTGTTGTTGTTGTTGTTGCTGTTGCTCTTCTTCCTTGTTCACTCGCGTTCGACTTCTTCGCCATTGCCAGTGGCAGCCATGCAACAAATTGCCACCTATAGCTCCCGCAATCTTTTGCGAATTCTTCCTGCCATCTGCCTGTTTACTGCTGTTGCTATTGTCAGTCGCGCTGTTTACTTGTTGTACTTCTTCGCCTATCGCTGCTGTTGCTGTTGCTGTGCATTCCTTTGCAGCAACTTTTCCATTCGTCACATTCTTTTGGCTACCAGCAGCAGTTTTGACCTTCTTCTTTTTATCTTGCTGTTGCATTTCTTTGGCTTTAATTTGTTGTAGTTGTTGTTGTTGTGGTTGTTGTTGCTCCTGCTGATTTCTTTGCGTTTGTTGTTCTCGTGCTGTCGCTTTCGCCGTGGGACGTGCTTTTAATTCAGGTGAGCATTTGCGAGTATCCTTTGCGGAATCTCGGCTGCTTCGCACTGCAAAGAATAAAAAAAAAACAAACAAATAAGTATTGATGTAGAAATAAAATGTTTTGAATTTAAAATTGTTAAGTTTTCTCTGAAAATAGATTTGTTACTTGTAAAGATGTGCAAAAATTGCTAAGGGGAAGGAAAATCACGGTTGTGAACTTCTACTTTAGCCACTAACTTTTAAAATCAAATGATTTACTCTCGGTTGCTGATTATAAATTTCACCTGGCTCAAGTAATATATGCATGTGATGTATTCCTTAATGCAACCCACTGATGGAAACCAAGGCGAATTTATACAAAATGGTGTTACTGGCAAATTTAGATTTTCGCCGCGATCCTTCTGAATGTCAAAATAATGATGAGCTAATCCCGAATTGGTCCGAAACCAACCTCAAAATGATCCCGAAGATATCTCGAACTAGCACGGAAATGTTCCTGTAATAGTATTGAACAGATCCCGAAATGGTGCCGAAAATATTCCAAACTGGTCTCGAAATTGGCCTAAAGTAGTCGTTAACTGGGCCTGAAATAGTCCTTTACAATTCCATTAATGGTCATTTGTACACGTAAGAAGCAATTGCAGATTTTCTGCTGGGCTACAAAAGAAGAGGTTACAAATTTTCTATTGGGTTAACGCAAAATTTACCAATACTCAGAGCTAAGATGTTTGCACATCAAAAAGAAAAACATAACGGTCTCTACTGACGAGTAGTATGAGGTGCGTATTACGACTGGGCAGAACCCGGGTTAGATTCCTGTTGCAAGAAACTGGAAACAATTCTGCGACCTCTTTCAAAAAAAAAAAATAAAATTTAATAAAATTATCAGCCGTTCGTAGTTTCCTTTAGTTGTGTGACACGACCAAAGTGGACACCGAAAATTGTTTCGTTACACTAGACCTTACACTCAGGANTTAGTTGTGTGACACGACCAAAGTGGACACCGAAAATTGTTTCGTTACACTAGACCTTACACTCAGGAAGCAAAAGAGTCAAGGGGTAAACATATATTCCAAAATGATATCGCTCTCCCCTCATAACCGGCATGTCATCAGAAAGTAAATGGACATTGAACAACCCGCCCTAAGGGTACCAGGTCACACCAGATTTCTGCTAGCTAGGTATTTACTTTCATTATGCAGCCGCGACCACAAAAAACTTCCAAAATTGCTGCCTGGCCATTTCTACATTTTGGACATTTGTACATTTTGACAGTTACAGTTTGTTGTTGTTAGGAATTCTGTTTTATTGTGGTGAATTCGTGAATTCTTGAGAACACCACTCTGAGAACGCCAAATGTACCAATTGTGTGAATTGGCCTTTACGGTTTTGGGTATGAATTTCTTGGCAACGAAATGCTAGCGCAGGTATATTGCGAGCTAATCCAACGGTAGTAACATCAGATCAGACTGGTCGCAAAGGCGAGATACAATTGGCAAAGTTTTTTGCCTAACTAATTTGCGTTCAAACTGTCGAACAGGCGGACAAGGTTAAATCGACTCAGCTTGATTACATCAGTTTGCTATAATTTCTAACAGCTCTATATCTTCATCGTGTTCATGAAATGATTGCAAAAAATTATGTGACACATAACACTTTT